AAAATTATTAAAAAAAAAAAAAAAAAAAGAATGAGTTATGGCTGCTTTTGCCACGGTTGCTTTTACCATTAATAAATGGATCTAACCTAACCAGACTCTCAAAGTAGTAACTCTTGAGATACTTTATAGTTTCCTCTCAGATTGAAATAATGAAGGTTAAAGTTACTTTCTGATGAGTTTTTTCTCTATTCAAAATGTAGAATCTGGTTGGAAGAAAGGTCGTGGCATAGTCACTGTGTCACTGTAATTAGAACCTTTGTGAACTTTCATTGGGATATCTGATTTCTCTCAATGTGATATCTAGAAACTTTATGTAAACTACCATTATTTCATGTGACTTTGATGTCCTCATATTCTGTAACACACTGATAAGGAGAGAGATTTCTCATAATTTCTTTTCTTTCTTTTTTGAAAAAATTTTTAACCTGAAAACAACTTTCCATTTATTTTCGTATCTTGGAGGTAAAATTGACCAAAGAATGGACTTCCTCACCTGGTAGAATGTGCATACAACTTTAGGTTTGCATATTATACTGTCCAAAGCCCTTTAATTCCTCATTAGGGAATTGAATCTAGTATGATACACGTTTCCACCTAATCTCTAGCAACTGGTCATAGATCTTACGGGGTAGTGGGCCTTAATAGGTAGGCTTTGATTCAGTGAAAATTCGAAGTTTTGGTAGTTGGAACACTTGATATTTAAACAGGACTTAGGAATTCTAAACAAAATATTGAAGAACTCATCTTTTTACTTTGCAATGAGATGAGGAAATCCATCTTTCTCAGGTGAGATGGCAAAGGCATATGCAGTTTCCAGAGTCCTGTGGTATAAACATTGGTTTTAATTGTAATGTGTCAAACTTAGGGAAATAGGACTGGCATATATTAGGAAATAGAATTTAATCGAAGGGGTTTTTTTTCAATATTATATGGAAACTTTCTTATTTAATGGAAATGAAACTAGTTTGTGTTAGCAAGCATGATTTCTTTCATTTTATTTTTAATTTCATTAATCTGCATATAGATAATGACTTTGTGAAAGGCTTGTGTTTTGTGCAAAAATTAAGATATTGGCTGACATTTAAATATATTATTTTTATAATTTGTTGGATATAGTCTAGGTACTAATGATTTTTAAGTGCTTTTATAGAAAGTTCATTTAAAAAATCTTTTTGTTTCATTACAGAACTAATATAAGTACAAAGAACAGTATTTATATTTATTTATGTAAGACATTATTGTGCCACAACATACCGGTAAAACACCTTCATGAACAAGTGAGACATGTACTCTCTCCTAGAATTACAATAAATTATTTCTAAAATGTAGCAAAATAGCTAAAGTTTACTCTTAGTGACCCTCACCTCCCCAGCTCCTGGTCTTTCCTTTTCCTCATCTGTGCCCTTATATAGAGGATAATTTTCCGGTAAAATTGAGTTGTACATTTAGTGAAAGCAGCAACATCAATAACCTCAATATCCATGAGCTGTCCCCTTCCTCTGCCCATGTCATCTCTATCTTGTTCCCTATCTTCCTAGCCTGTTCACGTTCTCCTTTTGTTTCTGCTCCTCTTTCTTAACCAATATCCTGTTCCCCAACACTGACCCCAGATTTCTCTCACAGACCTCTCTCTCTCAAGATTGGCTGCTGAGATCTCACAGTAGAACTGAGACTTGAGGCTAAAGTTCCCAGCGAGAGAGCAACCCTGGCAGAGTCCTAGTGGACCATTACTTTTCAAAGACTCTCCTCAAAAAATAAAGGAAAATCACCTTCAAAACCACAAAGCTTTACACTATCAAGTGTAAACCAATGCCTCTGTCTTGACAGAGCATTCCTTGTGACCTGTCCTTCAAACAGTGAGAATGCAGAAGATACAGGACAGTTGGGTGTATAAGCCTGCTTGATAAAACTTGCTTTGTCTATTAGTTGTCCTACTTGTATCCCTATTTCAGCTGAGATTACAAGGGCCTACAAGATGGGACTTATTTGTCTTTGGTGTTCAATTGTTTCCCCCAATTTTAGTGTTTTTTTTCCTTGATTTTAAATCAATGTTCAAATGAATTATTTGTTGCTGTATAATGAAAAGTTTTGGTTTATGTGTTTTAAGTAACAATTGTGCAAATTCTTGCTGTTTGCTAAGTGCTCCCTTTGAGTCTTGTGCAAATTAGGTCAGAAGAAGTGGGAGAGGGCAGAGCTAAGAAGAGTGTGGGAAAGAAGAAAGACAGCTCTGGGGCAGGGTAGCAGAGGGACGATGCAAAGCAAACACCTGCCCTAACCCCTGTGATCTGGAACCCCACTCTAGTCTCAGATGCTTAATTCAAAAATTGGATTTCACTCAGGCCTTGAAGGTGACAACTGTCTCTAATAGCACAAGCATACGTAAAGAAAGCTGGAGTGCTACCCCCTAATTCTTCAGAAAAAATATCCAGCTTGCCTCCTCTTGATAACACCTTGAAAACAGCCTTATGGAGTCAATCTTGGACGGGTTAAAAACAAACTATTTGGATGATTCTAGCTGCAACTACTTATCTTGGCTATGTGTTGATTGGTCCTGGATAGAAACAATGATTTTTCATTTTAGATCTTGGTTGAATTTAAGACATATTTAATTATTTTCAGTATATGCCTACAAAAAGTCTGTCTTTTAACTGTTATGTAAAATAAACCTAATCTCTGGTTTCATTTTTATCCTTAAAAAAGTTGTGCCTTAACAATAGGGCATTGTATGTTAATAAGGAAAAACAAAATCATTTTTTAATAGATGGGGAAAATAGGAATTTTTTGCCATTTTAAAATTTAAGTTGTAATGTTTTTAATACTAGAGTTGGGGAAAATTCATGAAAGGTAAATAAAATTGATATAAAGTTATTTTTGCATAATCTAGCATTTACAACTAAAACATTTTTATAAGAACTGGCATCTTGATGTATATAGGTCTGAAGTGATACTTCATCTTTTGGTTTTTAATTTAAGTTAATAATATAAGACCAGGATAGATTACTTTTTTTAAAAATTTCATTTTCAAATCATTTCACTGTGCCATTACGTGTTCTCCTAGTCTTCTGAGTCACTTTGGTTTTAGAAAATAGCTATTTATTCATGGTACCGTATCAACAACTTATTAATGTTAAAAAATACTGTATGTTGTATGACATAACAAACCAGAACAGTTCCTAGATGGGGGAGCATTCTGATTAGCAGTTAATAAGAGGGCAAGAAGAGTTGAACTTTGTACTTCAAAAGGAGGTTTTGGTTTTATGAGGTGCTGGTTATGTAGGTGGTTTATTTTTATTTCATCGAAGCCTGGCAGGTGTTTGCATTCCAATTTACCGTTGGTAAAGGCTTACAAGAAAGCTTTTTCTTTTATTTTTAATTATTTTTAAAGTTGAGTGGTGAATTAATTCTGTGGGAAAATGAAATTTATAAGTAGTTTTCCTTTGAGATAAAAATAAGTCAAACTTTCAGAAGTCAAGGATGATGAATAATATTAAAACAACTTGTTATATGTTGTGTTTTGTAAGGGTTCCCTACAGTATTATGATTAAGGTAATTTGTGTAAATTGCAAAAACAGAAACTGATGTTTGATTAGTAGTATGTTCCTTTAAGATTCTTTTTGAGGTGTATGTTATACACAGTAAGTTATTATTCAAGAAAGACTTGCTCATCTGGTATTTTTTTAAATAGGAAATACAGCATACTAAGTCATCATTAGATCAATTAGCCTACAAAGACTTCTCTCTCCCCAGATTGTCTCTTCTAAACCCTCTTCATCATTTATGTTAAGGAGGGAACGTTTACGGACTTTAATTTATGTGTAAAATACAGACTTCAATTTCCACGTACTCTTACATCCACCGTTGGCAGTAGCCAAAGCTAGCTTAATAGTCTAACAGGAGAGACCGTGTTTTGCCATCATGAACTGTGATGCTGCCAGTGCGTTTTTTCCCATTTGGTGGTGTTACTTAAGCTACCAGATGTGTATGCACTACACAAGGGGTTGAGTTTACACGAAAACTATGAAATGGTGTTTCCTGCCTCTTGAAACTTTGTTTTTTGTCATCCTCACTTCCTGTCAATCTCTTTCTTATAATGGGCTAACGATGATGGGAGGGTTAAAATAAAAATAAGTACCTTCGAATTCCCCTTCCCCTTTGACACATTTAAAGCTGTAGAGGAACTAGACCATTTCTTGTTGCCAAGACATGCTTAGACACCAGAGTTTTCTTGACTTGGCATGCTATACCCTGCCTCACCCACACCACCAAATTTAAGAGTCCCGACTTCAAGCCCTCTGGGAAGTAAACTCTCCTCCCTCCATGTTTGTAGAGCAGTTTTTTTGTACCTCACTTGTAATGCTCATTTTATATGTGCTGTTGTAAACTCCTCAAGGTCAGGGATTGCGTC